CCCCAAAACCCCAAAACCCCTCTTTGCAGCATTAATTTAAGGCATTAAAATCAGATTTGACTATGACAAATTTATACTTTATTCAAATTTAATATTTTAGATAGTTATTCATTTTCATCAATTCGTGCTCAACTTGGTTACTTTATAATCATATTCCTGACTCGCCTACTTGATACATACATTGTGGACAGAGATGTTTAATGTTATAGCACCTTTTTATACAAAATGGAACGCAGCATAGTGGGTACAAAGCAAAAAAGCAAAACACAATACAAGCACACCATTAGTTACCAGTGCATTCATATTTAAGCTTAGTTTTTTATTCTTTGTCTGTCTTACAATTAGGACACTTAAACTGCATAGACTTTCTTTTACCGTATACTCTCGGTAGTCTAACAAATTTTCTTTATTTCTCAGCTATTAAGAACTCTGTAAATTTACCCATATTTTTCTTCTACTATGCCTAATCAGGGGATTAGCCGTACGGGTTTTCAAACAATGCCTTAACAGGCTAGCTATTTCCTATCATTATTTGCTTGTGCTTATTGAGTATGTTATGAGTAGTATTGATCTATTAATCTTGCTATTTTTTCTCTTCCTCTATTTCAATGTCATTGTTTTCAAAGTTATTAGAATGTTAATGCTTTTTATCCCCGTTAAAAGATTTTTCATCAGTCAATTTGTAATCATTAGGTGTAGCTGTCTGTTTATCTTTGGGAGATTTTTATTCTTTCTTAGCTGTAGAATTATTTGGAGATTTTTCTCCGTTCATAACCTTCTCTTCTTCTTGATCAATTAGTAAACCTTATTTATCATCTGCCTAATTAAGATCATCAATATGCTCAGATTCATTGGCGTCAAGGATCGATGATCTATTTTGTATGGGCCTATAATAGAATTTTTAAGAAATCTAATGCTTTTACGATTTATCTCTACTCTTATCTTGTAATTTTGGATCTTACTCTATCAGATCATTTTCTGTATCAACTTTCTTGCTATTACTATCTTTATTATGTTCTTCCATAACTATAAATTTTCAATTAACTATAATATTATAGAATTAAAGTTAAATGAGAGGAGGCTTTACAAAATTTGATCTTTTCAGAAAGATGCCCAAGGACTTAACTGAGGCAACTTATTGTGGTGCTATGGGTAATTAAATATTACAATATGACTTCAATAGCTTGATTTAAATATAGTATCCATTGTTTGCACAGTGATTATTGCTATCTTGAGCATTGGTGAGATTATAGACTATTTAAAGGTCGACAAAAGATCTTATTTATTGGTAGATACAAGGCATCATGATGATAGATTATCTATCAATGTTGATATTGTGTTCCCTAGAATGCCTTGTGAGGTTATGACACTTGATATAATAGATATTATGGGAACTAATATTTAAGACATAGCAGGTTCATTATATAAAAAGAGAATATCAAAAGAAGGAGTGTTTATTTCTCAAACATCAATGCTTGACATGGTTCAGACACGTTAAGATTTGATGAATAAAGTAAAAGAAGAACTTGATCAAGAAATGGGCTGTCATCTTGAGGGCTATTTCAGTATAAATAGAGTTCCAGGTAGTTTTTTTATTAGCACAATGTAGCATGAAGATTTAGTAGTTGGTCTTTAACAGTAGGGTTATAGTTTTGATTTTAGTCACACAGTTTATCATGTTTCTATGGGTAGAAAGGCTTATAATGAACATATGCAAAAGGAATACCCAGATAAGATAGGTGAGATTAGCATAGGACCTTATGCATTCTCTTCAAATAAAGATAGCAAGGACAAACCATTCGGTCTTGAAACCAAATTCTTTATCACTGCAATATCTACTTAATATAATTAACTATCTGAGATACTTTATCAATTAACGTATACTAAAAAGACTTATTCAAATTCTGAGATGGACAATCTACTAAGCTTTAATTATGAGATATCACCTTTGTCAGTATTTTTTAAAGAAGAAAAAGAAAATTCCATTGACTTCTTTATACATATAACTGGAATGATTGGCGGTATATTCACTATTGCTGGGATAATTGATACAATATTACACCAATCTGTGGCTGTGCTCTTCAAGCAAAGAATAGGAAAGCTATAGTGAATAGAATGTATAATTTTGATGTTTACTAGTTTAGCTTTTATAAAATCTTTAATATAACACAGTCTTGATATTTGAGTTTTATTAGTTTTAATAATTTAAAGTCAAAATAATGAACGCTTTCGAATAGTTAGAGAAATAGCAATAATAGCAGCATCAGAATGTATATCAAACCTAGAATATTGGAGTTCCTGCCAGCATGTATGCATAACCTCACTACTAGCCACCAACTTCTTATTAGGCATAGTATGGAGGTATGTATGGTGCTCAAGGATACCCCTAATAATACAATAATTATTATCCTGCAAATTATTATGGTCAGGCTGCCCCTGGTGGAGTTGCATCGTATTGGTAGCAACCTTCCCTCGGGCAAAGCTTTAACTACAGTCAAGGTTATCAGAACAGCTAGTATACTACTCAAGCTAGCAGCTCTTAAAATACAAGTTAGTCTAATTCTGCGATTCAGTCTTCTCAATAGAATATATCACCCGAAAATGAAAGTGAAAAGTCAAATTCCAAATGGAGTCAGCCAATTACAGTACATGAGATTGAATAATTCAGATAGAGATATATGCCTTGGTCTAAGTAATATACGCCATCTAATTTATAGAATAATCAATCTAATACTTAAGGTATCAAATTTAATTCCATTATAACTTCATTAATAGCTGAATAGAATCCAGCAGCAGCTGCAGCCATGAAACTTAGCGTAAAGTGCCCAGACAAACTCTCCTCCTACATTGAGAGGGCTTTCCAGAAATGCATCAATTAGTAAGAGCGTGACTTTATGGATGCAACACTTAAAAAAATATGCAATGCTTGCAAAGTCAGGGGCAATTTACTCTCCAAAGATTGGGATGCCCTCCAACTGCCAAGTCTTCCTAGAGAAGGTAAGTTCGTGATTTATAATTATTCAGCTTAAGGACAAAAAGATGGAGTATATTTAGTATTTATTCTGATGATGACAATTTTCATCTTCCTTTTTGCTCCATTTCTTTTTTAAAAACAATTTTTGTGAAATAAAAAGATTAATGGTTTGTATAGGTCCTCAATATACGACCATAAATGCCCGACTTGAGAACATGGACGTAATTATTCCCCCATCTACTAATTTTCAATCTAATTAAAACTTGCAATCATTTTAGCTTTAGCCTTAAGTGCCTTTATCTTAACAGAATCCTTCCCTTATATCTAGTTTTTCTTAGAACATTACTTTCAACAAATAGCCACTTATCGCACCCTAACTCAAAACTTTCTAAAATAGCAACCTAGTGAGTAATTCTGCTGAGTAAGTAAGTGAGGAAGATATGAAAAAAAGAAAACAGAGGCTAGAAAAATTCAACTCTTAAGCTTAAAGCACACCTCCTACTTCTACTCAAAAATTATCAAGCTTTTCTTCTGTCCAAAACTCCAAACATGATAAATTTTCTAGTTTATCAAATAAAAATTCAATTAGTTATAGTAGCAGTAATAAGGTATTTTCAACATAATTTTCAGCATTAGATTTTGATTCAAATGATTTAGAGAGTCTTAATGCTTAAGTTAGTATCAAGGTAAATCCAATATACCTGTTTAATAGACATAGGGGACATGCACAAGGCTTGAAAAGTCCTATTTCAGATTGACATCTGCCCCAGATCCATCAGATGTAAGACCAGAGTCTGTTTTAAGGAAAGCCTTGAAGATGATTCTGAATAAATGGAAATATAAAGAGACTGACTATCGATATATTGATGAGTAATTTAGGTCTATGAGGTAAGACATGACGATTTAGCGACTTGAAAATGAATTCTGCGTGAAGGTAAGGTGATAGATAATGATTTATGAGGAATATAGGTTTATGAGGCACATGCAAGAATAGCACTTGAATGTGCTGACTTAGATCAGTTCAATTAATGCCAGACTTAGCTTCACCATCTGTATAAATCAGGCATGCAAGGTCATAGAATTGTAATTATTGAAGTTTAATGAGCATTCTAGGAATTTTTAGCTTATAAAATCTTGTATTAAGTCTTCTGTGAGATGGATGTAAAGTAGTTTATTGTAAAAAATTTAGACCGAGACATTGAAGATGCTTAAGTCACTTTCTTTTGAGGAAAAGTAATGCGAACCAATTTAACACGCACTAAGCGTCAGGAAGTAATTGGCATCAGGAAATTATGCAAGATTTTTTAAGCTCTATCGAACAGCCCCTAACATGGGAGGCTATTTGATGGATGTTTTCATTGAGAAACTTAGGATTATGAGTCTATAAAAAATGGCTTTAGCATACATTGCAGGGAATGTTGAGGTGGGATATCTAAGCCACATTTTGGCTTTTGACGATCAGAAACTTGCAGATTAGTTTCTATGCTAAATTGGTAATTTATCCTTTTCTCATTTCTTTTTGGTAGGTTGTAAGATAGTACAACAGGAAGATGGCAAGAGGTATATAGTATGTAGAGAGAGTCTCCCAGCAATAAAAAAGGCGCCTTTGAAAGTAAAGACGTGCCAAAAGTGAATTAAGATTATTATGAAGCTTTTCAATTAATTTTTTAAGAGATATTATCTACAAAACATGTCCCTTTGTTCTAATTTACTAAATCAGCCCTTTTTCTCTCATAAAACTCTGCTTTCTTTACTTGTAGAATAATGGATGAAATATTTCCATGCACAGAGATGAAAAGGATGAAATAGTATGCAAAATTCTTCAAGTATTAGAAAGATTTGATAAGAAATAGATTTTCTAAAAAAAATATTTATCCCAAGATAGTAGTTTTTGAGAGTTGTATTTTAACATATAAATACTGAATACTTCCATATAAATACAATTTCTAAGCTTAAAGATCAATTCACTTACCCTTAAATCGTTGTAATCTAGTCTTATGGGGTTTTGGGGTTTTGGGG